TCTCTCTCTCTCTCTCTCTCTCTCTCTCTCTCTCTCTCTCTCTCTCTCTCTCCCCCCCCCTCTCTCTCTCTCCCCCGCGTACGCTTCCGCCACGCCATCAGGAAGACCGTCAACACCGGCGCAGAAACTGCCTTTGGAAGCGACCTTCGCTTCCGGGGATTCCCAGGAGCTTGTGTCGTGCGCCTTATATGGCTATCCGTCTCTGACCGGACCGCGCCTACGCTTTGAAGATTCTTCAGGGTACGAGCGACACGGACAGTTGTCCATGTACACGCTATTTTTATACCACAGCGGAAAGATACGAGGTATAAAAAGAACAGAAGAGGTGCGGCGATTTTTCGCGGGATTTTTATGATCCTCATGGGCGCGACATGGTCGTCGTACAATCAGGGGTGAGACAGAATACAAAGACGATCGATGAAACTTAGAATTTACAATTGAACATGCGAATTGGGCTGGAGGATATCGAGAACTGCCTTATGGGCAAGTTCATTTAAAATATGTAATGCCATTGTCATTTTATGTATTTTATTCGATGATGAAACATCCTGATATATTTAGCGTGTTCAGCTTGGGGCACGCCGATTTATACAAAATTGAAGCCATCCTCTCGCATACGCAGCGTTTTGTCGAGTATAACATTGCTAGGTAAGGGAGAAACATTAAATATAAGTTACACCGAAAAGAGGAAGAATCACACGACAACAACTGGCGTACCTCGACGATCGACCGCGAGCTCAGCTTAGAACTAGACAAAAGAGTCATCAGACTCGTCGAATTCGCAGAGACCAGACGCGTCGCGTCGTCTCCCCGGGCCGCAGTTCTCAATACCGTCGCCCAGCAGCCTCAGCTCTTGTTGTTTTTCCCCGACGAACATCGCGTTGTTCTCATCGGTGTCGAGCGAAGGCGCAATGTCCTGCTCATCGAGCCCCCTTCGAAACAGCTGCTTCTTCATTGACGTGTCCGGCCTGCCGGACTCCTCGGAATTCCAGACGTTCCTAATTACATTCCGAGCCCGACCACCGTCCTCCATCTCGAAGCCGAGAGTTCTCGGGTCCACGAGGTATCCCAAAATCACCGGCATTTCGCGGCTTTTCGTCGGCTTGAAGCTTTTAGCGCTCTTGGCCGCTCTAACGACGTCTTCAGCTTTTTCTCCCCGTGTCTTCTCGTCGGTCGATACTGTTGTGGCTTGCTGTTGTTGACTGGAGATGCTCGACACTTCCGTGTTCTCTTCTCCCGCGTTCTGCGGCGGGTCTTTCTTGTCCGGACGATCCTCGCTTATCTGTACAGCGTCCGTAGTGGTGCTGGTGATGTAGACCTCCTCGTCATTGGACTCACCGAATGTCGCGTCCGACTCATGATCTTTCGACGGAAGCGGCGAGATAATGCCGTTGGATGAGCCCAGGTGGTGCTTGAGCTCCAGCGCCTGCAGCGCGAGCTCACTCAAAACGTCGTTATTGCTGGGAATGGCTATGACGAAGAGGAAGTTCTCCAACTGGGCGTGCACGTTGAACTCGCCTTCTTGCCGCTGATCGTACTTTCTCGGTGCGGCGTTGATCCCGCCGAACGCCAGGAATGTTACGCTGAGGAAGAACAACACGCGGACCGTCGCCATCGTCGTGTACGCTGCTGATGCAACACGTAATCGATCACGTCGTCGCGCGTATATGCGAGCGATGCGCGACTCTGCTCTCGTGCCTCGTCGACCGCTCACGGTGCTCCCAGATGCTCCTCTTCGGCAACGTGAGCCGAACGAGATCCTTTCCGCAACTGCGACGATCGCGCGGACGGGGTAGCGGTTCGGCCGACCGCAGTCGCGGCCGTCGCGCGGGGTCGCCGCGACCGGTACTACCACGGATCCGATGGTCCATCTCGATTGGGTTGCAGAGTGTTGCCACGATGTTACCATTGAAATCGAATGCACCATAACTCGTCGATCAGGCCAAAACGTGGCCGTGGCCTTCGCGCTTCGTGCACGGCGATAACGAGACTTGCGCTCATGTGAACTGTGACTCGCAAGTATGTAACGGTGTCCGCTGATAACATATAAAACTCTCGTGCACATGTAGATTAGATCAAACTAAATAAAAAATTCTTATATTATTTTGCAAACTACGTGAATTTTTTAGTTATTAATTAAAGAAAATTGGCGAACGATCGCACGTAATCATGTATCAATGTTCTTTAATTAATAACTAAGAATCACGTAGTTATTTACAAAGAATCTTTTTGGTTCAGTTTGGTCTAATGTGCAAGCACACGGGGGCAAACGTCACCATCGAAACTCATCTACCGTATATATGACGTGTTATCATTCATCAATCCTCTTTAATTAATAAACGTGTTTGTTCGCAAAATGATGAATGAAATTTTCGTTCTAATCTGCACGTACACGAGAGTTTTATATGTTATCACCAGATATCTTGTATAGATCCATGCGGAAGGGAGCTCGTTGATTCCCTCGTTGATGAATTAATGTGCACAAATTATTATAACGAGGGGAAGTCGAAAGTCCGAGGGAAGAAAATTGTAAATTGAAAGGAGAACTCGTAAGAGTAGCAAGTTGAGTTTCTCCGTGAGAGACGAAAATGAAATCTTTGTTTTTTACTCGTATAACTATGATGCGATGACATTTGATCGCGGAATTTCATCTTGTATTTTATGGTGAAACTTCGAAAAAAGGAGAGATTCACTCGTTTGTCGCGTGTACATATGGCAACAACGATAGCCACCGCCGATTCGCTCGTCGGCAACGTCCACTGCCGGTCGAGATGTATCCGGATTTGCAGCGTTTTTTAGAACGCAGCGCTTGCACGGGTTTTAGCGTGACCGATGTTGCCGAAGATGTTAATTTGTGATAATCAATGTGACTCGAAGACGTCATATCGATTAATCCGGGTCCATTTTCCTCGCTCGATTGACTCTTATCATTTGTAGAGTTCACGGTACCGTTCGATGGATCAACGTCCGGCGTTTCCTCGTCGATTAAATTTGTGGAATTAACGGGCGACGCAGAGACGGTCGAATTTGGCAACGAAACAGGTTCCGTAATTTGCGTAACGTCGTTCTTCTCGGTCGACTCCGCCGTGGAACTCGAGATAGGTCTATCGCTCGGTTTGATGGTGAAGTCGGCGTAGTCGTAGAAGTAGTCGTAATCCTGCGAAGACAACGTGACCAAGACGGTGAATATAGCTATGATATTTTTCGAGAATAAAAATATATTAAAGATTCGTAAGAATATGCGACGAAAATCTAAGTTTATCAGGCTGCTTATTCACTATTTGCTATGTGTTGTTATGTTCTGATGCCATGTTGGCACCAGAAATGAAAAATTATGTGAGTTCTTTTTCCGCATTATTTATCCAGCAAACACAAAGTAGCAATAACATAACTGTTAGTTATAATTTCCCACTCAACAATGCAACTGTTGTTACATAAATGTTACATGTCTTGTCTTGTATTCACATTGTTGACTGGGAAATTATAACTAACAGTCATGTAATTGTCACTTGGTTTCATTAAATATGTAAAGATAGATCACCCTGCTTAAAGTGATGGGTAGGAAACAATAGAAAATACTTTCTTTTTCAATGACAAATTTATACTTTCTTTCTCAGAATGCATTTAAGGAACTTCATAAATTAATTGTACTATAGATTATATCATATCCTTTACAAATATATATTTACATGATAATCTCTATAATGCAATTTATTTATAAAATTTCTTAAATGTGTTCCGAGAAGAGGAATGCACTGTTGGAAAGGAAAGTCAGTGCATCCTATTATTTTCCACTCATCGTTTTAAGCAGGTTAGTTCATTCGTGACTTCTCATTCTCATCGATCGTTGTAAACTAATAAAATATATCGTACATTATCTTCTAGGCTCCCGAAAAGAATTTACATTTCTCGCTTCCAATGTCACAATTTGACATGGCTACAGTCAAAAGCTTTTTAAATATGTAATGAAATGATGAATTGACTGAGCGAACTTTATACATTATACATTCAGTTATAATGGATCAAGCACGTGATCTGTGAGATCTAAAGTGGACCTTACGAATTATTGCGTAATCTGCAACACCATTACTTCTCATTTCGTTAGCACTTATACAGCACAAATGTCTTTAATACATCCTACAGATATGTGATATCTTTCTCTGGAACGTCCTAGGATGTATTTTGAACATTTGTGCTATATGGAACGTACGTTCAATGAGCTCAAAATGCGAGAATATAAATAAGCTAACTTGTAAGATGCGCTTTATACAAGTGAAGTGCTTTACACATCTAAAGTGTACATTATACAGTTTACTCTGTCTTCTGCTCTTTCTGCAAGCTCGTCAAGTGCAAGCAAAGCAAGGGAATGAAATCAAAAAAATAATGGCATTGCATTCCTATCGATTATTTTTGACCCGGAAGAACTAGTTTACCGTGTAATCGTCGAGCATCTCGGAGTTCAGCAGCGCGACGACGTGCACGTTCTTCAACTCAACCTGCACGTTCAGATCGCCGGTCTGCCTCTGGTCGTAAATGGCCGGCGCAGCGGAGAGCGGTACCGCGATAACGAAGCCGCAGAGGGCGAGCATGATCGTCGTCGTCATCGTCGCCCAGCGATCAATCTTCTCGGATAACGAGCGTGAAAAATGCACGGTCGGGCTCGAGGAAACTCCAGGGTCTTGAGGGAACTCTGGACTGCGGACCGCCGACGGCGCGGCGCGAGGATCTATCCAACGTCGTCGGACGGAGTCGCCGGCTCGGACGTAATCGTTGGCATTCGCGTGGACAAACCGGTATACGACAGCTCACAGACATTTTCGTGTCTTCGACACTCTACCACCTTTTAGCCTTCGGATCGGCCGAGTACGATGCCCGGCCGTTGCCCTCTCGCGCGTTTTACCTTGACAGCCAACCGTCGCCGACGTAGACGTATGTACGTATGTACGCCGCGTACACGCAATCGTGATCGTCGCCCGCTCGTTCATGCATTTTCGCCCGCGTTGGAAGCGCCCGCACGTGCACGATCGATCTTTCGTACCGATCTCATACACGCTTCGTCCGACTCATGCTCGTTTAAAGTGCGATCGAAGGACGACGTCAACCTCGAGCGCCTGATATGTCTGTCACTTCGCCCTCCCGCCTAGGGATGTGCAACTTACGAAACTGTGCACTGCGATGCAATCTTTTTTAAGAATCGCAATGAATGCAATATGTCGCATCACAATTTTGTATCGCAAATATGATTTTAAATTACGCGCAATTTTGCTTCTCAAATGCGATTTTTAATCATAAGAGAATAATGGGAGTCGTAATATTCAAATAATGGGAGTCGTAATATTTAAATATATTAAAAATAAATAAATTAACTCTCTGTTCGAACTGCATCAAAATATTCTTTGAAATGTCCATTATAAAAAAAAAACATAAATTTTACTGTGAAATAATAGTTAAAATTAAATTAAAGTATATGTTTCCTAAATACATCACTTAACTTCATACTTTCTACACGGAGCGAAATGGAAGACATTTTACAAAACTTGTTTATTTACGAATTATAATTTTCAAAAATTAAGTTAAAAGTTAAAGTAAAAGTTAAGTTAATTTTCAAAAGTTTTTATAAGTGACTTATTAAGAAATGAAATATATAAGGATATGTTATTGCACATTTTATTAATTATAATTATTTATTTATTTTTAACACATTTTTCTCATAAAACAATAAGATTACTTTTTTACTCCATTTTGTACTAAAATATTAATCAATAATAAATATTAATTAATGACAATCAATATTAAGTATAATTGTGTACTAATCTTTGGTAATTTTTTGTGAAACATATATAAAAAATGTATATAAAGAAATCATATATCTATATATAATATAATATTTATGTAAAGAAATCATATGTATATAAAGAAATTCCCTAACAGCATAAAACATGTTCAGAATGTTCTACGAATATCGTAAAAGTATATTACGTATATTCTCAGAATATTTAAAATACGTTACTGCAAATACTGAGAACATACTAAAAACATTCCTATGTCACCTTTTTCTTGTTTCTCGGTATATACTGAGAATATCGTCTAAGATATTATAGGAATATCTATGAGATGTCCTCAGTATATTCACCTATACACCCTACCTATACACATACTCATATACCCACATATATGCACAATCAGCACGCGCGTATAGGTTCCCACATAGTAAAAATTGATCCTAGGTATGTCCACATGCTCATTAAAATGTGTAAGGGTGCGTTCAGATGGAGAAAGAAATAGCGTAACGGAACAGTTACGGAAAAGAGATATGGGAGTCAGCCAATCAGAGTAATTCCGTTTTATTCCGTTCTGTTGTTTGATAGATAGGTTTCACATGGCACAGAACTGTTACAAACAGAACAAAAACAGAAAACATTCTAACCTATCGACATCGAGAATTGTAAAATTTTCGATGTTGATAGATAGGTTAGAATGTTTTCCATTTTTGTTCCGTTCTGTAACAGTTCTGTGCCATGTGAAACCAACCTATCAAACAACAGAACGGAATAAAAACGGAATTACTCCGATTGGCTGACTCCCACCATATCTCTTCCGTAATTGTTCCGTTACGCTATTTCTTTCTCCATCTGAACGCACCCTAAGCTTATAACCTACCTATAACCTTATTGGGCTGCGTTCAGAAACCCTACTCCGTGAATAGAGTAACATTTAATTAGCCAATCAGAGTAAAAGGAACTAAGATTTATTTATTGATTGGTTTATTAAAGTAACTCTACCTATCGAGTAGGATTTCTGAACATAGCCCTTCAATGTTCGGTGCTGTGAGGATGATTATTCGCTTGAAACAATTATTTTTGTAAACATTTTTTATATGTTCCGTAATATTTTAAAAATATTTATTTTACATTTATTATTCGTTTAACATAATGATTTTCATAAACATTTTTCAAACACATTATTTAAACGTTTTTAAAATATTTATTTTACATTAATTATTCGTTGAAAATAATAATTTTAGTTAACATTTTTAAACGTTTTTATAACATTTTTAAAACGTTTATTTTATATTTATTATTCGTTTTATATAATGATTTTAATAAATATTTTTTAAACATTTTTTAGACATTTTCAAAATATTTAATTTATATTTATTATTCGTTTGACATAATAATTTTCATAAATATTTTTCAAACATTA